CTCTGCCGCTGGGGTTGGCCTGGTGGCATAGTGGTAAAGTTCGTGCACTCTGCTTTGGGGGCCTGGGGTTTGCAGGTTTGGATCTGGGCATAGACCTACACACTGCCCATCAAGCCATGCTGTGGCAGTGTCCCACATACACAATAGAGGAAGATTGGCACAGATGTTAGCTCAGCGACAATCTTCCTCAAGCAAAAAGAGGAAGATTGGCAACAGATCTTTGCTCAAGGCTAATCTTCCTCACCAAAAAAAAAAAAAAAAAAAAAATTCTCTGCTTCCCTCCAGAATCTCTGCCTCTCTCCAGAATCTCTGCCTCCCTCCAGAACCTCTCCTTCTCTCCACAATCTCTGCCTCCCTCCAGAATCTCTGCCTCACTCCAGGATCTCTGCTTCTCTCCAGAACCTCTGCCTGCTTTCAGAATTTCTGCTTCCCTCCAGAATCTCTGCTTCCCTCCAGAATCTCTGCACCCAATGCCTCTCCCTCTTCAGACCTGACAGTAATCTCCAATTACCCAGCCCTGGGAGAGCACACACCAGGGGAAGGCGGGGAAGCCCATCTTTCTGAGATTAGGCTCCAAATACTTGCAGGGAAGAATGCTTCTGACTCTGGGCAATGGGACCCAGGACATGGGCATTTCTGCTTCCTCAGCTCTGGTCCTATCACAGACCCACATTCAATGGGGATAAAGGGTCCCTTGTGTGTATGCAGGGGCTGCATTTACCAAGGCCACAGACCTCAGCAAAAGCCCCACTTCCTGATGACTAGGGCCTCCTGCCTCAGCAACACCCCTGCCCCGCCCTCCGTGTTTACCGTCCGCCTGAGTGGCAAACATCTTTCCTTCTGTTCCGTCTGTTTAGGAGAGGCTTATCTTGTCTTTACAGTCTTTGAGCTCACGTGGGACCTCTCACTCTTTACCAAACACAACCTGGAGTTTTGTAGGATTCCCAGCCTGGGCCAGTGCTTAACGAGCCATGCTCTCAGCTCCCACCATTCCACCACCTGCCACTACCTCAGTTTGGGCCTCTCCCTGACCTCCTGGCCTCTCAGTTTTCCCCCTGCCATCCTCCCAGACTTGGCCCCAGAAAGCTCTTCCTGACACCAGAGGCCCCATCGCCCCAGTGGAAAGTCCGCCTGGTGCAGCAGTATCCTGACCCTCCTGGGGGTCTCGGGGGGGCCTGGCCACCCTGGCCACCTCCTCCCCAGCTGTCCTGCCCCAGGAGCAGCCATGCCGAGCTTCCTTGCCTGAGGGCTTCGCACCTGTTCTTCTCCTCTTCCCCTCCCACCCCTGTCCCTGCTCATTCTTACTCATCTCTGGGTCCTGGTTTAAACACTGCTTCCTTTGGCAGCATTCCGTGGCGCCTGCACGGAGCTGGCCGCTCCACCTCTGGGCTCCCCTGCGTCCTTATTGACCCCACTATGGCACGGATCCCTGTGGGTCTGGACTTGCCAGAGTCTGTGCCCGCCTCCCCCACCCCACCGGACAGAGAGCCCATTGAGGGCAGGCCAGGGGCTGACTCAGCTCTTCCCTCACGCCCCGTGCAGGGCCTGGCTCCTGGGAGGCATCAGCAGATGCTTGCTCTGTGAATAAAGGGACGACCCGTATTGCTCCTCTGCTCAAAAATCTCCATGCTTGCTTCTTTCCCCAAACCGGAGCTGCGCCTATGCTAGCTGCAGCCTCTCTCCACTCAGCCCATCACTCCCCTGCCTCACAGTTTGCACTTGCTGTTCCCTCTGCCAGCAACGCTCTTCCCACACACCTGCCAAGCTCCCTGCCCTCCCTTGTGCAGGACTTTGCTGCACACATTCTCCTCTATTCTCCAGGCCTTTCCTCTCCACCCTCCTTAAAGGTGTGGTCTGCTCCGCATCCCCCCGGTTTACCACCATCTGACACACTCTATATCCTACTTCTTTCTCTCTTTTCTTTTTTGGCCTCTCCCATGAGGGCAGGATTTTGTTTCTTTTGCTGCTGTCACGAAATAAGTGCTCAATAAATATTTGCAGAGTGAATGGATGAATGGATGAACGCACGGGGCTTGAGGTCAAGGAAGGTTTCCAGTGTTCACAGGGGGAACTTAAGGCTTCTGCCAGACTGTGTCTCCCGCCCTGGGAGGCTGGCTGAGACCCGGGGGGACCGGGGAGGCGGGGGCCGCAGAGAGCGGAGCTCCGGGCAGGAGACCGCGCTTTGCCAGCAGAGCCCACGCGATGCCCAGGCGTGGGCACAGTGACCTCTTGTGGCCAAGGCTGAGCACAGCATCTCCCCGGCTCCCACGTGGGACCCTGACTTTGTCGCACGCGGCGACTGACTTTGAATCCAGATACGCCGACAGTGTTAACACACGCACTGGATTGCGAAAACTCAGTACAAAAAAGAGAGAAAAGCAATGTAAAATATCTCGGTTTTTGGAAAATACTCATTACAGGTTAGAATCAATATTGTGGGTCAAAAATGTGATTACAATTTCACCCGTTTTCCTCCCCTTTTAAAAATAAGGCTATTAGAAAATTTAAAATCTCATCGAGGGCGCACGTTGTATTTTTATTCGATAGCGTTGCTCTAAATCATGACAGAAATTTAACCAGCAGTCCACCTCCTGGTGTGGAGGGAAAAACTCGGTTGAACAGAAGAGAAAACGTCCCTTGGTGAGGCAGTGGTTGACCTGCAACAAGGACCCAGGTCCCCTGGCTTCGAGCAGGCGGCATTAGCAAAAGGGTCAAGAGCCCCAGCTTCTTCCCCGACTTGCTGCTGTGTGACCTTGGGCAAGTCACTTCCCCTCTCTGAGCCACATGATTATCCTTCGTAAAATAGGAAATCACACCCCATCAATCGCATCCCTGAGCTGACGGGGGAGGAGCGTTTGCCTGGCACAGAAGCATCGTCCCAATTGACCTTGATCATCTTGCGCCCCCTGCAGCCCGCTCTCTTTACTGCAGCTGGTGTGATTTTTTTTTTTTTAGAAAATGGAAATCGGATCTTGACCTCTTTTGGTGGAAAGCCCTCCAATGATTCGCGATCACTCTCAGAATAAATCAAAGTCCTTCTGGCCTCTACAGGACCCGGCATGACGCGCCCCTGGCTACCGCCTCATCTCTTGCTGTTCTTCTTCCTGCCCACTCTGTTCTGGACACAGTTCCTTGCTGTTCCCTGCATTCACCAGGCTTATTCCCACCTTCTGGCTTTTGCGTGGGCAGTTCCCGCTGCCTGGAAACCTCTGCCTTGAGACGGCTTTATGATTCGTCCCTTCGCTTTACTCAGGTCTGGGCTCAAACACCACCTCCTCCAAGAGGCCCCACGCTGACCCCTCTGGAAACTGACTCTTGCCATCTCCCTCTTGCCATCCTGCTTCATTTTTATTTGTTGCATTAGTCACTACCTGACGTTATATATTTGCTTCTGGTCTGTTTCTCCCAGACCATGAATATCCTGAGGGCTGCAGCTTCCGTCTTTTGGGCACTGCGGGATTCCTAGCACCTGGAGGAAATTCTAGCACCAGGCACACGGGTCACAGACGAGGCACTCGATGAACGTTTGTTGAATGAATAATTAACCAAATACTCAATTAACTTGCAGTGGAGGCGGGGCATCTGGCCCCTACTCTCCAGCCCAATCGAATTAGGAAAAATGAGACCCAAAGAGTGTGGATGGCCAGACATGAGGGCAGCACGGGGCTGGGGTTTGGGAGAATCCTCCGTCCTGGGCTAGTCGTGGTGGGTGGAGAGAATCAGCGAGGCTTCTAGGAGGACCCTGGAGGATTTGATCAGGAAGATGGGACCGGAGGGCATTCCTGACAAGGCACCAGCCTAGCAAAGCCTGGAGGTGGGAATGAGAACACAAGTCTCCCCAGGGCTCAGGCTGAAAGCTTCTGGGCCCTACACCTGCTTGGACCGGCAGGGCAGCAACTCTGAAACCCAGAGCCCCCTGGCGGCCAAACCTTAGCATGACTACCCAGTCGGACACCATTTATTGAGCGCGTTATCGAATCCTCACGACAGAGCTTTGATGGGGGGCTTTGATTCCATTTTCAGAGGAGGAAATGGAAGCCAGAGAGGTTAAGTCACCAACTCAGGTCACCCAGCTCTTCTCCCAGAATCCGAGGTGTGGGGAGCCCACCCAGCTGCCCCTCACCCATCACACAGAGACACTGGAGGAGATTCAGGTGGGGGTGGGGCATGATTCCAGAGTCTTGAAGACCCAGGCAGACCCGGGTGTGAGCCCCTAGTTCGGTCCCTCTCCAGCTAAGTGACTCAGGCCAGTTACCGGGGCCTCAGGCTACAACCAAGGAGATCGCAATGCGATGAAATAAGACGGCGCAGCACCCGCAGGATGCGCAGCCCTGGAAGAGAAGCACCACGATTACTGCACACAACGAGGGCCCATCTGGTCTGAGCATCCACATGGTAGATGCTCGGGGTGGGTTGGGGCTGTCTGCGCATGCCCAGAACCGGCGGAGGAACGGGGCAGCAGCCTCCGAATTGCCCCTGACTCAGGAATGGAAACCTGTTCACTACCTGCCTCGGAGACCCAGGAGTCTGGGCCCCCAGCCCCCTCCTCCCTCAGACTCGGGAGTCCAGCCCCAGCGACCCTCCTCCCTCAGACCCAGGAGTCCAGGCCCTGGGCCTCTCCTCCCTCAGACCCAGGGGTCCGGGCCCTGGGCCTCTCCTCCCTCAGACCCAGGGGTCTGGGCCCTGGGCCTCTCCTCCCTCAGACCCAGGAGTCCAGCCCCAGCGACCCTCCTCCCTCAGACCCAGGGGTCCGGGCCCTGGGCCTCTCCTCTCTCAGACCCAGGAGTCCAGCACCCAGCCCCTCCTCCCTCAGACCCGGGAGTCCAGGCCCCCAGCTTCTGTAGGGTCACAGGTCACCCGTTCTGTCTCCCGCTCCCCCACCCCCACCCCACCTCAAACCGAAGCTCCCGGCGGGAGAAGGTAACCGAGTTTATTCACAGTGTCATTCACAGGCAGCCCCGCGCTCCGGGGCGGCGCATCCCGGCCGAGAACCCGAGTCCCTAGAAGGCAGGCACGGCGTCCGGGGCAGGGGCCCGCTCCGGCTCCCCGTCCCGCGGCGGCCCCGCCTCGTCCAGCCCCCGGCGGCCCTTGCCGATGGCCAGGCGCGGCCGGCCGCGGTTGAGGCCGTCCAGGAGCGCGCAGGCCTGGCAGAGCGCGCGGCTGGCCAGCGCCCCGCAGCGGGAGCAGGCGCCGGGGGCCGGGGGCCGCGCGGCCGGGGCCAGTGCCAGGCGCTCGGCCGAGTGCACGAGGTCCAGCACCGCCGACGGCCGCGCCGCCTCCAGAGCTTGAGCAGGTGGCGCGCGTGGCCGCGGAAGGCCTCGGGCGCGTAGACGCACTCCTCGGAGAAGTAGTCGAGGCGGCGGAAGTGCGCGTACAGCACCACCTCCTTCTGCGAGGCCAGCTGCAGCGGCGGCAGCGCGGCAGGGCGCCCCCCTCGCCCGGCGAGCCCAGGCCCCCGCCCCGGGCCAGCCGCGCCGCGTCGCCCCGCAGGAAGTTCATGAGCACGGTCTCCGCCATGTCGTCGGCGTTGTGGCCTGGCGGGGGAGAGATGGGAGCAGGTCAGGCGGGGGCGAGGAGGTGGGTGCTGTTGGTCGGGGAGACCCGGGGGCAAGGGGAGGAGGCGTGGCGAGTGGTGTGCACCGAGTGGGTGACCCGGCCACGGAGACCCCTCCTTCCGAATACTGTGGGGCGGCCAGGACCCAGAGAGAGACAGGGAGCAGGCCGGCGCAAGGGGTGCAGGTCTTGGAGACCTGGGTCCCCGTGGTGCAGTCAGGACCCAGGGAGGTGGGGAGGGGGCGTGGGGAACGGCGGGGAGGGCGAGACAGGGCCATGGAGACCCCGGGGCGCCGTGGGGCAGCCAGGTGGAGGCTCAAGGTGGACACACCGAGAAACGAGAGGGGACACACACAGGCTCCGTGGAGCAGCTTGGGGGTGCCCTCAGTTTCCACCCACTTATTGCAAACCAGGCCCTGTGCTAGCCGCCCTTTCACCTAGTGAGAAAAGTGCTTCAGCTACAAAGATCTCTGCAGCCTCAGTTAAGAGGGTCCTTCAGACTGCACAGGAGCAGTCACGATGGCATTTAATGGAGAGTCTCCAGTGAGCTGACACAAGTGTCTCTGGGGATGCAGATCCCGGTGTTTAGAAAGACCAGGGAGAAAGTGAGGGAATATTTACACAACGGTCACCACAAAATTTAAGCGAAATCTCTACCTATTCCACATCTTGTCGTCTTATACTTGAGTCTAATAGCAAAACACTGGTCGTCCTAGGGCTTCCCAAACTGGCCCTGCTTCTCCTCCTCAGGGCCTTTGCATGAGCTGTTTCCTCTGCGCAGAACACCTCTCCCACCCCTGATTCATCCTTCACGTGTCACCCACGCAGCCTTCAGGGCTCAGCTCACTCAGGAGACGCTTCCTCAATCCCCACCTTTCTCCCTTCACTAGGTCCTCCTATTACAAACTTGCAAAATCTGTGCAACTTTCCTTAGTAGCACTTGGGTTATAATTAAGTATGTCAGAAATCAGCAGGTGCAGAGACGTCTGTCTTGTGCATCATCATAAGGGCAAACATTTGTATAATGTTTACTGTTTTCCAGTCTCTGAGGGCTTCACACATAACTCATCTAATTCCCAACAACACCAGGACCTAGACATTACTAACAACCCCATTCCACAGAAGAGGAAACCGAGGTTAGGTCGTCTGCTCGTGGCTACGTGGCTCGCGTCTGGTACATAGTACATGGTCAGTAATTATTTGTTGAAGTAACGGTTGGGACAGAGTAAGAGAGTTATCAGAGAGGAAAAGCCGACAGAGAAAAGGAATTAAAAGACACCGTGCATTTCAGACTATCGATGGTTTCTGATGGGGGATAGCCCTTCACACCCCTTCTTTTGTGAATGGAACACAAAGACTGTCATTTTCTTAAAAATGCAGGGAACAATCTCAACAACAGAAAACCAACAACCCAATTAAAAAACGGGCAAAAGATCTGAAGAGAGATTTCTCCAAAGAAGACATATGATGGCCAAGAGGTACATGAAAACATGTTCAACATCATTAGCTACCAGGGAAATGCAAATCAAAACTACAATGAGGTATCACCTCACTCCTGTCAGAATGGCTGTAATTAACAAGACAGGAAACAACCAGTGTTGGAGAGGCTGTGGAGAGAAGGGAACCCTTGTACACTGCTGTTGGGAGCGCCAACTGGTGCAGCCACTATGGAAAGCAGTATGGAGTTTCCTCAGAAAATTAAGACTAGATCTACCATATGATCCAGCTACCTCACTGCTCGGTATTTATGCAAAGAACTTGAAAACACAAATGCATAAAGACACATGCACCCCTATGTTCATTGCAGCATTATTCACAATAGCCAAGACTTGGAAGCAATCTAGGTGCCCACCAAGGGATGAATGGATAAAGAAGATGTGGTATATATACACAACGGGATACTACTCAGCCATAAGAAATGATGAAATCCACCCATTTGTGACAACATGGATGGACCTTGACGGTATTATGCTGAGTGAAATAAGTCAGAGGGAGAAAGTCAAATACCATATGATCTCACTCATAAGTAGAAGATAAAAACAACGACAAACAAACACATAGCAACAGAGATTGGATTGGTGGTTACCAGAGGGGAAGGGGGAAGGGAGGAGGGAGAACGGGTGATTGCAGACACATGTTTGTGGTGATGGATTGTAATTAGTCTTTGGGTGGTGAACATGATGAAATCTACACAGAATTTGAAATATATTATGATGCACATCTGAAAGTTATATAATGTTATAATCCAATGTTACTGCTATAAAAATTAAAATTAAAATTAAAAAAAAAAAAAAACCCGCAGAGAACCCCAGCCCCAGCCCCTAGGGAGTACCCCTCCACCCTTCCTCGCCAGTGTGCTGACCAAGATGACCGCAGTGACTCAGAAGCTTACCACGCCCATCCCAGGGGCGCACACACACTGAGCCCATGAGCCTTCAGTGGGCACGCACACCTGCTCCTCCCTGAGACCCTCCACCCAGGGCACACCCAGGTTCTCCTTCACCATCTCTCGGGCACGCGCCCCAGCCCCCTTTCACGGCTCGCCCCCTCGCCCGTGCATGCGCCCGGCTCCCTGCCACCCCCATCCCGCCGGTCCCGCTGCGCGCCTGCGCTCACCCGTCACGATGTGCGTGGCTCCCACGAGGCGCGCCCCCTCCTCCAGCGCCCGGCGCCGCAGCACCCCGCAGAAGGTGCAGCAGGCGCGGCTGCGGCCGGAGCCGGCCGTGCTGCGGGCCACGGCGTCCATCGTCCAGCCCCCGAAGAGGTCTGCGTAGGCCACGACGGTGAGCGGGAGCTCCCAGCGCGCCGCCTGGCGCCGCACGGCCGCCAGCGCCGCGTCCCGGTAGCCGCCAATGCCCTCGTCCACGGCCACCAGGCGCAGCGAGATGCCCAGGCGCGGCGCCAGCACCTGCAGCACGTGCGCCAGCACCGTGGAGTCCTTGCCGCCCGAGGCGCCCACGGCCACCACGGCCCCGGGCGGCAGCAGGCGGCCCGCGACCACCGTGTGCAGCACCTCGGCCTCGAAGGCGGCGCAGAAGCAGGCGCCG